CGTCAATAATTAAAATATTGAAAGTGTAACTCTTTCTTTTTATTGTGTTATTTTTCACACACAAAATTTATGTAATATATCTTTTTAAATAAAGTTTATACTCAAAATAATTATATTTTAATATCGTGTTAAAGTATACCGACGACAACACGGGGTCGCGGCTAAATGATAAAAATTCACTTGACAAGAGAGCTCTGAATTCTATATTGAATTCAGAACTTCAAAAGTAAAAAGGTCGGTCTTTCTGAAATTCAGCGCCTTTTTATATTATATTTTTAATTTATCTATCTATCCCCTATCTTGGGATGTTGTCGTCAGCGCTTTTAGCGATTTTTAGTTTATTGTGTTAAAGTGGATATAACATGATAATTATTTTAAGATATGATACATAGTATTATAATAATCAATTTAACACATATATACATATCTGATAGCTAGTACAACAGTGTATATGTTATGACAGATAAATTAATTATTTGTTTATATACAATTAATATAAAATATTTTTTTCGTTGGTAAATGTTTGATGCGTAATGCAAAACATTAGTCCTATTACAACACAATACAATTATTAAAAAATTAAATACTATATATTATCACATTCGTTGTTAATAATTTACCTTTTTTATTACTTTTAGGGCGACTTTTTATTAAAAAAGAAATAGTGTTTTTGATTTTCATAAAAAAATTATAACCTTACTTAATAAAACTTCAGTTCCAATATTTATTGATACTAAATTAAATAGAAAATTTAACTGTAAAAATATCACTGAAAATTAGATGTTTGTTTTTATTAATAAGAATTTCTTTGTTTCATTTAAATTTAATAATAGACACAATCATAAATAACAAATGGAATATTGGTCTAAATGGCAAGTTATCTCATTTTATAAACTCTGAACACAATAATAATTATAAATTACAATACAATCATTCACAATTGTATAATATTTTTTTAATTAAAGTAGCAATTGAAATTAATTTTTCCAAATTTAAATTAAAAAAATAGTTTAACACAAAAAGTATAGTTAAATAGCAAATTGAAGAAGGTATCCAAACAATAACTTTTAATTTTGTAACTTTAACATTACTCAATTAAACAACAATAAATTATATTCTAATTGTAGATATGAAAATACAAATAAGATTAATGAACTAAATCGTTCTTTCATCAAAAGAAAAACAAATATTAAAGACAATAGAAAATTTCCGANGCCATGAAAATTATTTACATTGCGTCATTTTTTTTTTTTATTATTATCAATGAAAAATGGTAAAACCTTGATTAATAAATATATAAAAAAAATATTTACAATAATAAATTTATAATATATTTATTGTTAAGATTAATTAACAGTGCACATTATATTATTTTTTTGTTCATTATCTATAATTTATAACTGATTATAAATATAGAAATCATGCTAAAGCTAAATGTTTACATTATTTAAATGAGCCAATGATTTATCAAAACCAATGTTTAATAATTGTCACACTTATCTACATGTAACAACTTAATGTTTCAAAATGTAATTCTATATTCCACATCATTGTTTTATCAAAAATTAATATTGTATAATTAGTTCATAACACAATTTATTTTGTAAAATAAAAAAAACTTACAATTTTAAAGTGAGTTTCAACAATTCAAGTCACTCTACATAAAAAATTAACAACATTGAAGATAAGCTATTCATACTAGTAATGGTAATAAAATAGTTTGACAATTATCAAATGAAAATTGCAGAATTATCAGCATTTGATATTTTCATTAATCAAAGTACTATATCATATTATATGATACTTGTACAACAAAAGTGAATAATACACACATTGCTTTTTACGAATAATAAAACACAAAATCATTTGCTTCAAACTTGCTAGTTGTCACTACATCAAGGACACTATCATTCAAATGATCGATCAATAATACAAAAAATTACAATAATACTTAATTACAATAAATTCAATGATACAGCTCCATCGACTACCTAAAGATCTAAAATGTCGAGCAGTAATGTGAAAAACCATACAGTGTACAATTCAAGAACTATGTATGAAGTTAATTTCTATAAGTTTTTTCTGACAACATTATTAAAACGACTGACTTTTTGTTTTATTGACTATTACTATGTATTAAGAGAACATGATGATTTTCAAAAACAACTTCAGATTCATTACAAACAAACTTTATATTTTGTTTTCTTTGTTTTAATCGTTGTTATAAATTTTAATCTTTTTTTTAAATATTATGTCTTGATGTAATAATAAAAAATACTTTAATTGTTTCAATTTATATTAAAATAATTATAATTCTACTATTTAATATTTTATTTCGAATATTTTTAAAATTATTTCAACATTTATTTGTAACAATTATAAATTGTATAATATAAAAACTAAAGATAATACTTTCATAACATCAAAATATTGTAATAATATTAATACATATTGTTGCATAAAAAAATTACATCTATCATTACATATTGCTATTTATGAATTTATAGAGAATTTTTTCAAATTTTAATGAATGTTACAAAACAAAATTACTACCTTAAAATTTATGCAAGAACTTCTTAACTTATTATTATTTGTATGAATTTGTCTTTTCTTATTGTATTTTAGATTATATTTTATAAGAACACATTAGTCAAAAAAATTGGGATGGATGTAGTAATATTCCATTACCATATTACACTGTATTCCTATAAATTACCATATAAATTATTTCAATGACTGTTTGAAACCATATTTATGTACAAGCTCATTATTATAACCTGTAATACCATGTCAAACCAATAATATTGATGAATAAATGAACAAAAGCAGCGTTGACGATGTATTAGGTAAGAAACGAAAATAGTAAAAGCATGTTTAGTAAAAAGATGTCATTTTTCATCGTTTTGTTAAATAAGACGTCAATAGTAGACTCAGTCCCTGGTGAGCATTGGTCCACGATTTAGTAGTCAATAGACATCCTGCCCACAATACACTTGTTTCAATGAATTATTAAGATTTAATTGTCGCCAACGCTTGCTTTCAGTTTTATCAAGTACATATATTTCGTGTTAACATTTATTTCATTTTCCTAAGTATACTTAAATTACGTTAAAAAAAATAATAATTTAACTAGTAGACTAAATTTGATGAAAACGTATTCAGCTAAATTAATTGCATTATCACTCAAGAAGTAAAAACGGTAAGTGAAATATTAATATTAACTATTATATTAATAGGTTTATTTATATCTAAAGAAGTACAAGTATCTACCTTATTTTACCTATATTTCTCTAACCCTCTACACATACATCCTATAGAGGGGGTAGTATATTATTTATCTTATTTTTCTATTGTAGTAAATCAAATCCTCTATTCGTGTTCATATTCTATTCATGTTTGATATACTACATAAATTAAAGATTTTTAAGATTACGTTGAAAAAAATACGTCCCCACGTTATTTTTTCTGCGAGCTATTTAACTATAAAGTCAAAAATCACAACATTTCTGTAAAAGTTCACCATTCTTTTTTCATTTTGCTATAACTTTTTCGATAAAACATTAATTTTAGTAAAAAATTCGCCATAAAATATAAAATAATTTAACACGATTTTAATATTTAAGTTTATATTTAATAAATTTTACATTTTTTTATTTCCCGAACTTAACATGCTACAGAGGGTAGTGTATATCTTTTACATACTATTTAATTTTGTAAAAAAAAAATTATTTAAGTTAAAATTTATAAAACTTATTATATATAGGTTTTTTACTGTCAATTACTCATGTTTCGTATTGCTCGTTGCATTTAAAAATTATTTTGATATCTCACAACATATAAAACAAAACTTGAGAAAATATTTTGTAAAGATTACATGGACTATAATATAATAAAACCCTAATACTATAATAGACTAATGTGCACCTGCTAACCTTTAAGTCTTCAGGGAACAATAATAATGATAAAGTAACAAAATTCGACATAAATAACTTGCTATATAAATGGTTTATATATATATATATATTATAAAAAATCTATCATTACGATTTAAATCACGATTTATTGATAATGAAATTTCATTGTCAATAAATAACACATGTTTCTTTAAAAATTTGGATGGGTATATATTTTTAACTCAACTGAGATATAATAAAAATTGATAACTTGTGGTTAATATTATTATAATTGTTTAACTTAGAAAGCTACAAAAAATGACTAAAATATCGCGAAACGTATTTTGGGAACAATATTACTATTATCACTAAGTAATATCACACTTTGCCATTTTACACAAATTTAATATCAAATTTCAGTGAGCCAAGATCCCAATTAATTAAATCCTTTTTTTTCTCAAAAATTTATATTACCTCCTTATATTAAATTCTTTGTAATTATGTACGTGTTTAATTAGTTTTATGGTTTTAATGGAGTGATTATATGTCAAATGAAATGTTCAGCCACAGAAACATTAAAAATAAAAAAATTGATAAATATCCTGTGGCTGAACATTTATTGACACATAATCACTCCATTAAAACCATAAAACTAATTAAAAACGTAAATAATTACAAAGATCTTAATATAAGGGATCCAATAGAAATGTTTAAAAATAAGAATAATTTAATTAATTGGGATCTTTGACTCACTGTAAAATTCATTATTAATATATTATTTTAAGGACATTTATAATACATGATCCTATGAACGCAAAGGAGCTTACAAAATAGCTAATATTATGTTATTTGATATAGTTTTAAAGAATAGTATTAATTAAAAAAAAAAAAATTATAAATAAAATAGAAGAATTGGATAAACAAGAAATGATAACAAAAATTAAAATAAAACTAAATTTACTTANATTTTTTTTTTACATTTTATTTAAAATTTAAAAATAATTAATATTTTTAATAAAATGTAAAAAAATTAATTATTGAGATATAGCTATACACCTAACGTCTAACTATTATTTAAAAAAAAAATCAACTAAAAATATTAACTGGATCAAAAGTTATTTAAGTTGTCAGTGAGTGGTGGGCCACCCTGTATAGCCATAATAATATACTATTATCAGTAACAATTAGCTTACTATTCGGTTTTTTACAAGCATGTTATTTTATTTATTAACTTTTATTGATGATTATATCTATATTTTATACATGTACTGTTTAGTGCTACATTTTAAAATACATAAATCTATTATTGAGAATTTTTCTTGATGAATTTATATTATATTATATGAATATATTTTGAAACATTATTATGTTACATTAAATGTACATATAAACATCTTAATAGAGCATCTAATATTTTTACAAACCATTTAATCAACTTAATTTTTGAACAACGACATTTCATATAAAGCTATTATTTGTAAATATTATATTATAAAAATAAAGTATGGAAACTTATCCCTATTCATTTATATTTATAGTTAATATTTAATTCAGAATTAAGAGTTAATCTTTTAATTATTTTTTAGTTTACACATCCAACCCCCCCGTTAAGATATCCTGCTTGCGAATAAAAAATTCGTCACACGTATTTTATTTGCTACAAATTTTTCTTTAATAAACAATTATAGGTATGCGAATAAAAATATAAAATACTAGCTTTATAGGCAAATAAAAGGTTTTGTTCTATTTTTGCATTAGTCATGTGTAATATTCTTTGTTTAACGTAATTTTGTGAACAATAAATGATAAAATAAAGTTTTAATTTTCTGATTTTACGTGGTTTTTAAACATCTAGAATCTAAAAAAAAATCCGAGCACCTTTCAATTCTTTTAACTATAATTTTTAATTGAAAACAGCTAAACAATTAATTCTTTTAAATATTAAAAAATATCAGTCGATGTTAAAAACATCGATGACTTCTCTATCGTCTTTAGTGTACAAACATTTTATGGTTATTTGCAAGCAGAAAAAAAATACTAGTATTTTAATCTTAATAATGCCTCTGACACACATTACAATTAAAAATCGATTACTCTTTATAACATAAATATGTAAAATTTTCTAAGTATAACTGATTTCAACAATGAAAACCACTTCTCTAAAAATATTATTTATCTTGGTTTGCAGTTGTCTGACCGATTGATCGTCTACATGAAAATAACAAAACTAATTATCGAACCTTTTAAGAATAAATTGATGGATTTCACCTAAATTCTTGCATGAAACCTCTTGATCTAATTCCAGACATATCGTTGAAGTTTGGTATAACTGGATATGCCATTTCATTACGGTTTATAACCATGTGTTTAGTGTTCATTGTATTAGAAACCTTAGGATTATTTTTGTACTTATACCACCAGTATTCAAAAGCTAACATGAGACAAGCTAATCCAATTCCAACAAATATAACAATGAACACTCCACCTAAAATTAAAAAAGAAAAACTTAAGTAGATTTAGCTAATATGTGGTTAATAAGTAATGAGAATCGTTTCCATAATTAAGTTTGGTACTTTTCTTTTAACTCGTATAAAGAAAAAACTATTTAACTAACTTCTCCGGTTATATAGAGTAAACTAAATCTAACAAATAACTCTGATAACTTTAAATCCAATAATCGTATAAGAATGCGAAAATTATTTTTAAAAAATTAATGAAATTATTATTGGATCAAAAATTATTAGAATTGTTTGTTTTTTTCTGCATAATCGAATTTATTTTAAATTATAAACAATACTACTCCAAGTTTATCATTTAAATTGAAAATGAGCCAATAGTATTATAAACTATTTTAACGTCCACGAGTCAAATTGATGAAAAAATTATCCTTAAGTTGAATTATATTTTTATCATTAAAATCAATTTTATTTAATTAAAAAGTTAAAATTAAAGAAAACCTGATCATGTATGTTATTTAAAACTAGATCGACAATAGTAAATATTATCGTAAAATAGATTATTTATATGAAAATAATACGCTCTCATAGTTGTATTGATAAGAAAATATAATTTCTAATTTTATTATAGCCAAAAAAGTATGGTAATAATTTTTTGAAAAATTTTAATATTATAATTGAATTTTATACACTATTTATAATTAAATTACATATAAGATATTCAATAAAAAAACTTAATTAAAATAATGAATGACCTATATTATGAATACTAATTCCGTCTGATTGATTATCTTGTTTTTCACATTGTTTTTTCTCCGGATTCATATTCCACCATGTTTCTTTTAATTTTTCCAATTTTCTTTTATTTAAAAGTAATAAAATTGCGTTATTAAACTGATCTTTTAATGGCGATCCCTGTTGTACAGCGATTGCATATGGTTTTCTTGAGAATTCGTCTCCCACCATTTGTAAATCACAGTTAATCATTACTTGGTACCTTATGTCGGTAGCATCGCCTAATAAAATTATGCATTTTACATTTGAACACTAAAATTTGTATATCAAAAAAATTTAGTACCGAGATAAGCAAAACCTTCACTAGAGGATTTTGAACTTCTAACTCTTTCAATAGCTTCTTCCAAAGTATTGGGTAGTTTCGCTTCTTTTATAGCTTGCCACATTTTTGTATATTTATCACTCACTGGATAATCCCATACTGCTAATTTAGCTCTTTCTACTTCACTTAAACTATCATTTAAACTCATGTCCTTCCATATTCTGAAAAAATAATTCTAAATCATTATTTATCATACAGAGTAATAACTATTTTAATATTTAAGGTACTAATGGTATTTTATACAATAAAATCTTTATGAATAATTTGTTAACTATAATTAACAATTTATTTTCATAATCAATTATTGCTTCTCCAATAAAAACAAATTGTTTTTACAGATTTCTTGTTTTTTGGTTTTACTGACAAGTTGATATTATATACAAATACATTTTTTTGTATACGATACATAACTCATAAAATCGTGTTTCGATATCAGCCATTCTTTGAAAATAAGTCATAGCAGAAGAACCATTTAAAGGAGCATATTGAATTTTGTACTGTTTTGATAGATCATCCAACGATTCAACAGGAGTATCCAATCTTGAAACTGTCAAAAAAGCTGCAAGATTAGCAGTGTAAGATGCAATAATAATGAAGCCAAATAGCCACCATGTGGCTGCGACTAATCGGCCAGATAAATTTTTAGGTGCTTCCCCACCACCCTAAGAAATAATAAATATTAGTGAAAAATTGAATAAAAATGTATTTATTTTTTTTTTGAATTTAGGATAGTTAAACAATAGCAAATTATTTGATTGGATAGTTCAAAAATTACCTGTGGAGTAAGAGATGTCATACAAAACCATAAACATTCTTTTAAGTTGAACTCACGCTTTTCTTCGTCATCTTTGTATTTTTCTCTATTATTTTGATAACTGTATGGACTCCAACGATCAAAAATCCACATTAGTATGCTGCAAAGCATATATTTTTCATACAAATGCATGTCGTTATGCAAATTTGAGTTAAAAATGATAAATAAAAAAATCAATTTTAACAATAAATGTTATAATTTGTTATTTTAATTTAATTATTACCTAGTGAAAAAGTAAGCCCCTAGAATACATATCCATACGTCGTTTTCTAGTACTGTAAGAAACTTAAATAGTGATGTCGGTGTTTTAGGTTTTTTCATCAATATGGTTATTCCAACTAAATCATAATAGGGTACTGTAAAATCGACAACATTTTCTCTCTCTGCCATTACTGACATTGACCCTAAAGCTATATCAGCTCTCTAAAAGCAATACAATTGGTATATCTTTTACGATTTTAATATTCATACTTTTAGAATATGATTTTGAAAATCAACAATAGTATATATAATATTTGCAATTGCATGTTATTTAGTATAAGTTTTTGGCTGTAGCTCGTTTAACATTGATAGAATATTTGATTTAGTATATTAATCATATTTGATGAATAATTTACATACTTTTTCAATTAGTTCTTTAATCATTCCATTCCACTGTCCATTGTCATCCATATGTCCTAAATATGATAAATATAATAAGTGGCGTATTCAGGGAAGAATAAAAGGGCTAAGCCTCTCTATTGGCTGTGTTTAACCATCATTTCACGTAAAAAGTCATTTATAAAAAAGGTCATTAAAATATTTTTATGGTATTAGCCCCTATTGAAATATTCTGAGTACGCCACTTAATGGAATGTTAACTAATTTTAATAATTAGCTTATTATTTTATTTTAATATTTTAAACATAATATATTTAGCTACAATAATAGCTAGCTAATTATTATAATAATTATTGCAAAGAAATACCAAAACTGTTATCTGGTGCAATATAAATCTCGTACTCAAAACCGATTTGTTTTTTAATTTCTTCAATTAAATCAATGCAATAGCCTTTAAATTTATGTCCTGGGCCATCTTCATCATCAACTTGCATCATAAATGGATTTTGCTAAATTAAAAAAATGAAGTTGTTTTTATGAGAATTTATTCAAAATACTAATTTTATTTTACCAAAACTGTGACTATTCTATAAACAGTTACAGCTGAAAATTGAGACATATTTGCGGCATCTTTAACAAGGATTGGCGAATTTAAACTAGCTTTCCATGATCCTACATTTTCTGCGCTAACTGATTGACTGTTAAGTACAGTTACTTTTTCAAGACGCATAGTGAACTCTTCATAGCTATGCCCATTGGAATCGATAATAAACGGGGCATAGAATGTAGGTTCTGAAAGCTTGTAAAATAATCGTTAACTGTTTCTTAATATTTAAAACTACGCTAAAAATTACTTCTTTGAGATATTTTCTTAAATCTATGTTACGTTTCGGAAGTGGATTTTCCTCATTGTACTCATCACAAGTAATATAAGATATATTTGATGGCCATTCTCCACTGTTCATCAACGACCTACGTATCATTTAATATTTATGATATTAAAGTACGACCATTAAAATTAAATAATATATATGTATTTAAATATTGAGCAAAATAATCCATTTATTGCAAAAATGTTATTTTAGATAATCATAATTTAGTTAACGAAAAAGTGGAAACAATTTTCATTATTAAAAAAAATGAAATATTTACAACAAAATTATAAATTAATCATAGCAAATATACTATTCTAACAATTGGTTGAGTAAAATATTGCGCAATTATTTCACTAGATAGCGTTGTATGCCACAAATTACATACAAACATTTGATTTTATCACGAAATATAATTTTATTTATAGAGTACCTATTTGTTAATTATTTTGATATCAACTAACATAGAATACGATGATGAACTTCTTGTAAAAGTTAAAAAAATCAGAAAAGATTTAAATTATATGTATTACAAAACAGTACATTCCAAATTGGGACACGTTAAAAATAATGGCAGAGTTTTTAATATATTGACAGACATTTTTAGTTTTTACAATATTCATTAAAAAAGTGAAAACAATGCTTATTTGTAAATACATAAAATTTTTCAAATGCTTTAAATGATAATATTTTTATTTAATAATATTTAGTGAAATGTTTTCTACCTTATTGATAAGAGTGATCGATAATAAAAATCAAAATAAAAAGCTGCTGCTAGTTCCGGGTTTGCTGTTAAACCGTATGTCGTTCTTAAATTGGACAGTCTTTCACGACTTCCGACATCCGGCTCTGGTTTTACATACAAAATAGTAGCATTCGAACAACCACACTTGAGAGAACCTTTATCCTATAAAATGAATCATGAATTTTCTTAAAATAATGATATTGGAATTTGTTTAACCAAAACAGAATTTATTTCAATTTTAATCAAGGAATATTTAATATCAATCTAAAGTAAATAATGCAATATAAAAAATGAATAATTATTAAAGTTTTTATTATAACACTAATAAATTATTTTAATTTAACAATTGACTATAGTAATAGTTCTAATTATTTTATATTTATATATTATTATATTTTAACTTAAATTGAAATGAACAATATTAAAATTTTTCTCCAAGATGATTATATAATTTATATTTATACTTGGAATAATGAACATGTTTATAATTTATGAGTATAAATCAAATTAATATTGTTAACCTGAATATCATCATGGTTATGAAATTCTTTAGTGTTTTTTTTTATAATTAATTTAAAAAATTATCTATGAAATCATATTATTACTGTTATTATTATAACAAATTGTTTTGTTGTTATTCTTTCTATAAGAAATGATTAAAATATGCTTTAAAATTAAAAATCTTATATTTTTAAGTGTATGACTTCCCTTGAATCATTTAAATATAAATACCATAGCTAACTGTATTAATTGTAACACACCTATTATTGTCAGTATTAACTAATGAAGAAAATTTTCTTGTCATTCTTTTTACCTGTGTAATAACATGCCAAGCATATTTTCGTCCGAATAATTTGTTTGAATTAGCATGATCTAACACAGTTTTGATAGTAGATAATTTTCCTAATACGAAAAAATTCACTATGTCTACATCTCGGAATCTAGTCAAGTGAAGTTTGATACTAGCAATATCATCAATAGCTGCAATTATATGCCTAGTTGGAATATTTTGTAAAAGTGACTTATACTTATGATCCATTACTAAAAACAATATTTTAACTATTAATTGTACTGTTTTGTGAATGGTAATTATTTTTAATAATTACATTTAATATTTAAAGTTAAGATTTATTAATTTTCAACCGTTTATAAAGATTAGGAATCCAAATAAAAAAATAGAAAATAGCTAAATAATGATAAAAATTTAATGAAATCATTTTAATGTGATTAATAAAGTACTGAATCGTTCCTAATTGAAAATGTTTCTGAATTTAGTAAAATTCAAAAATTTGTTAATTATAATCTGTGATACAATTATTGTTGTTCACAGTATATATTCATTAATACAGTTATAACTTTTTTTTCCGTTTAAGCTTCAAAACCCGTAGAACCCGTATTTCATCTAAAATCATTTAATAGTTAGATTTTCAAATATAACAGTTTACTAAAATAAAAGGCATTTCATTATTCAATTTATCCAGCAATGTATCGCTGGGTAAAATTAGTTTGGATGTGACGATGGTATGTATAAAATAAAAACATTTCGAAACCAATATATTTCTAAGCTTAAGTAAATAAATTCAAACAAGTCGAAACTTTTTATTCTCTTGACTTAAAAATGAAATAAGTATGGTAATTTCAATGAAAAAAGTCAATTTTCTGTCAGCTTCACATGCTTCTAGTATATATAGAACTCATGTTGAATTTTCCTTTATTATTAATTTATATTGTTAAACTGCAAATCTTAATTTTTAACTGTGATCAAAAAATTTAATAATTTTGTTGTATTTACCGAATGTATCATCAAACATAATTCCAGCATTTGTTATATTTTGTGATACTATTATACTTCTTATTATTTCAGGTATGATATCAGACGGCGGGTTTATTTGAATTAAATACTTCTGTTGTTCACCATCTAAATTACGCCACTGTCTTCAAATTATACGATATAAATTCAATATTAACAATTGATATTTTACTCTGATATTACAATTACAAACCTAATATCTCCATCTTGTCCATACGATGCACTAACAGTAGGTAGTGCTAGCGCAGCTGTAAATGACTTGACAGCTTCTGAAGCTACACCATTAATTGTTGTGTCAATTACCAAATGCGGAGGCTTATTATTTCGAATGGATGCATTATAATTCACACAAACTATACATTTAACAAAAGATTATTCTATCAATTATTTTTAAAGAAATTTGATTAAAAAATTTGTCAAATTAATTAGTTGCATGGGCTTTTCAATTATTATTCGTACATTATTTTTATAATTAAAATATGGTGGTAAAACAGTAACAAGACTTTTGGACATTTTCAATTAGATTTAAATTAAAAAAATTAAATTCTAAATCTCGAATTAAGTCAATTCTTTAAGAATATTAAAAAACTTAAAAATTATTTGACGTAAAATAATCTTTTGCTTGGTTGACATTCGCATAATAACAAAAATTTCAAAAGTTCTCCTAAAACACATTTTTGTTGTTCAATATAATTACCGTAAAATGGACTCAATTTGGCTGTTAAGCATAAATTTGGTTAGTTCTATATACAATTTTGAACTGTTTGTAAACTCAAAAGCATAAAATTGAATAATTAGTTAATTTTTCATTCGAAGTATACTATATCTCCAACCATGTTTGGTGGAATTAACTGAAGCTAAATAGATAAATTTGGAAGTGTCCAATTTCATAGGTGTATTTACAATATTTTACAATAATGTAAAATAGAATAAAAAGAGTTAAGGCGAATAATGTCGAAAAATATTATTACTATAGTTTGCATCACTAGTTACATACGTGCTTCCAATATAGCCGAAGCGTCGTCACCTCCAATTTTTACCGAATACAAGCCATCTATCATCAAACCTACTCTTGGATTTCTTCTGATATAATTTAAAGCTACTCCTAATGTATCTTCAGCAACTAAGTTATTGCGGTCATTGATAAAAACTAAAATAGTAATTAAATATACATAATTTGATTGATTTTTTATTTTATTTATTTGATAAATTGATTAGGAAGCTATAAGAATGGCTGATACCATAGCCTTGTTTAATACTGATAATATTGAAAATTTAATGGTTATATTTAATTAACTTCAATGAGTTTTTTACTTACGTATATTTATAGTTTGCAAATTTTGTGGTATGCAGTTATTTATTATCGTTGAAAAGAGAATGCTTAGAATTATCGACTTCATAGTGTTTTTAGCTTTGTACATACCGTATTTTGTAGTACATTACTTTCGCTAAAAAGGTGTTCTTCTTAGGATCTATTGTTATGAGTCGCCTAGGGAGACGTTGGTCAAAACACTATTAAACTTGAATGGATGTTCAATTTGTTAAAATAATTGACATTGTCAGTCATTTTAAAATCATTGTTCAAATATATGTAATTGAATTACAAGTTATATATGCATTATTTTGTAAAAATGAGATTATTTCATAACAAAAATTTCAAAGTCTTAATACGTGACTTCTACTATTGAACAATGAAAAAATATATATTTATTGTTATAAATTTTAGTAGTGTAACGAACACTAGCTTTTGAGACCGTTCGGTCCGATTTAAATGCTTTAATGAATATGCTTCAAACATAATCCTGATTCTTTTTAGGCATAACATTTTTGCAATCATCTTGATATTCGGCGTACCATTTAAAAACAAAAAAAATATTCGCAATTAAAAAATATATTTAAAATATTAATTTTAAATTAAAAATATAAAAAATATTTAACTCAAATAGCCGCAAAATTATTATAAAATCATGAAAACGTATTTTGGGAATAATGTTACCACCATCACCGCTAAACGAATTCATATTTTATGAGTTTTTATTTTTTAACTGATTTACAATATAAAAATTAATATACAATATATAAATTTTGTAAATTAAAAAATAAAAAGTAAAGTTTAGTAAAGACCAAGCAAAGTGGAGTTTTAACTATTTTTAGATTAGTATTGATTGATATCTGATAAAAATTACCGTAGTAAAACTCTTTGATACGTATTTGAAAAAATTAATACATCCATAAAATTGAAGATTAGTCGTAGGAACGTCTTTTTTTTTTTAATCATATAATATATAAAAAAAACCTTAAATTTTATTTAGCTTTGAATGATTTATATGTTCCTTTGTTTTATAAAAAACAACAAAATGTGTTAATTTTTTTATTATTCTTTAAAATAAAAATAATATTGTTTCTATTAGATATACCAATTTGAGTTGACTTTATTTCATATAGAAAATCTCAGAAATTTATAAAAAAAAAATTAAACAAACAAAAAGTTATTAGAATAAATTATCTATTATTTTTATTTAAATATTAATAAACATATATTTAGTTGGGATGGATCCTAAAATTCTTATGAATAATCGGCAGCCACGAGAGTCTAACAAGTAACCTCAACTTGAAAATTTTAAATTATACATACGTGTATATAAATGTAAGATACAATTAATATTCTAGATAAAATTATAAAAAAAAAAACATAATAAACATTTATGTTCTTGTTTTAAATATATATTAATGAATAAATTTACCTAGTTTAATCATATATTTATATCTAGATGATAAAAACGAATGTATGTCAGTATTTTGTTCTTTATGCATTCATCCGATAGCCATTAAACTTTAAAAAGTTGTTGAGTGGACTCCCTTGAAGGTTTCTATCAAGTACATCTATCCTACGCTAGATAGAATAGTTGACTCGAATAAATAAATTGAATTAAAATGACATGTCGCGACACTTTGAAGTGTTTTCCCGATGAAAATGAATAAGTTTCAATAAGAAAAAACACAGCACAGTGGAGATGTGGCAGTTGGGTCCAGTATAGGTGATATCTGACAGTGATTAAAATCACTATCATAAAAAACAATAGTGTTTAATTTAAAAAAATTGAAAGATTATTCCAAAAGCTACATGATCTCCTATTTCCTTATTTATATTCTGATTATAAGTTTTATGATTGATAAGTGTAATATTTGAATGTATATATATATAAAGGGAATAGGTCCGATTAAAAAAAAAAATTCTTCTTCTTCTTCCTTGCCTTAATCCCAACTACTTGGAGTCGACCACCCTTATCCTAAACTTCTACTTGACACGATCTCCCACATCATCTACGCTCACAACAGCTGTCCTCATATCGCAATCAATAGCATCCTTCCATCTTTTTCTATTAAGTCTATTTTCTCTCATCTTATCCACGATTGACGCTATACTTATACTTCCTCTTATATGCTCGTTCCTTATCCTATCTTCTCTAGCCACTCCACTCATCCATCTAAGCATTCTCATCTCTGATACACTTATTCTCTGCTCTACTTTCTTATCAACCGCCCAACACTCTGAACCATACATCATAGCTGGCCTCACTACAGTATTGTAGAATTTACCTTTCAGCCTCATTGGAATTCATTTATCGCATATGATTCCAGACCCTTATCTCCACTACAACCACCGCACTTAATTCTGGTTTTTAGATACCGATGTCTCATTTCTTATTCTCTTATCTTTTACCTTTTTCCAAATTTTCATACTATGACTCATAAGCTTTATGTCTCTATAATTTCCACACTCCTGTATGTCACCATTACCTTTAAATATCGGCACCACAATACTAATCCTTCATTAATCTGGAATTTTCCCTTCTAATAAGATTTTATTTAAATGTTCCTTCAACCACCTTATGCCAATACCGTCTTATATTTTCTATATTTCTATTGTCACTTTATCTGCTTTATTCTTTTTCATTGATGCCACAGTCTCCCATACCTTTTTCTCACTAATTAAATATACCAGTCTCTCATTCCACGAGATATCCTCTAATACCTCTTAAACTGTGCTTTACTTACTGCACACTTGGCTTCTTTGCACATGCATTTATACTCTATCCAATCTTCTCTCCTTTTGCTCGTCTGCCATACTTTGAATTGCTTTTTTTACTTTCTATGATTTTTTGAACATCCTCATCTCACCACCAGGTTTCCTTGTTTCCTGGCATTCTACTCCTACTTTAACCAACAATCTCCTTTGCAGTATACTTAACACAACTAGCAAATCTATTCCGCACATCATTTATGTCTCCCTCGACATTCTTTTACAGTCTTTACAAACTCTTTTTCATTTTCCCCTTTCAATTTCCACGACCGGATCTTCAAATATTTCCCCCGTTTTCCTTCTATTTTTGTATATTTTCTTTCCCGTACACCACACATACATTACTATCAGTCTATGTTGTGTAGTTACACTCTCGCCTGGTATAACTTTACAATATTTTACTCGCTCTCTCCCTTTCACATAAAATAATCAATCTGTGATCTTACATAAACAAAACATATGAAGTTACAATAAAGAAATACAATCATGAAATTTGAAACTTGTTATTTTTGAATAATATTTCACCCAATTTAATTAATATATAATTTAGTCAATCAAAAATTTACATAAAAAGAAAATACATCATGATTAATAAACTGAGAAAATTGAAAATTTTCAAAAATTAGCGATTTTTATATTTCTAATTTTTTTGAAGATATCCCCCATTACGAGAAATGAGAGAATTTTTTTCAATTTTTGAGGCTAATGTCTTTGACTAGATACAATATGCGATTTTTTGACGTATCGTTGAAAGAAATCTGTTCGGTGAGAGCTGAAAAAAGTAGTAACAGACACAGAAAAACAAAATAAAAAACATATCATAGTAAAATTAATACCTTCTCAGCTTTACATCGAAGCAAATAAATTGTATTATAACAAATATAAAGAGTAGAATATATATTTATATAAACATAGATACATTTTTATTATATATTATTTATATTCATTGATTTTATTTATTTATTTTACGCTTTTAATTTTTTTAGAAGTTTAAAAATAGGTAAATCTAATTATAATAATTGGTTTTAATAATATTATTTTGCGAACTGAAAATGTTTATCTTAATAAACCTTTCTTTTTTAATTAAAAAAAAAGTATACAGAAAAAATAATTGATCACTGACAACTTTTAAGACCACATTTAAAAAGTTATAGCATTATTACTTAATGGTAGGAAAAGAGTTCTGGGTTGAAAAAAATACTGTAAAATGAAACATTTTAAAAGTTAATTAATATAAGTTCTACAAAATACATTATGTAATTATAATTTCAGTTGAATTTTCGTTCAAGTCATTTTGATTACAATTGATTTTTCTTTTTAGATCCATTAAAAAAAATCCATTATTAAAAATAGCTTAGAAAGTTAAATTAATAATACAAAAGCTTTATTTTTTTCAATATTTCAAAGTAATGGGTATTTTCATGTATTACATTATAAACATAACATTAAAAATATGTTAAGATGTAAAAAATCATCGATGTTACACATATATTATAAGATTAAAATGATTTCAAATAACAAAAAGTGTACTAATATTGTACGTCAAGGACTTTGAAAAAATTACAAAACCTGTATAATAAGAAACGCATATTACATTTTAAAATATCATATCTATTTTATAAATGTAATCACATTATAGAATCTATATAATTTATAAAAAAGTTAAGCGTTCATTTTTGACGAATTCATAAAGTAAAATTGCATATACAAATAATTAATTGATCTACATGTATATATGATACATAAAGTACACTACATGATTTGGTTTACATGTACGCCCTTAGTTATACGTTTGGACAATTTTAACTTGAGTATGGTTGACTATTCTGAAGCTTTATTGATATTATATGCATTGTCTCACGTTAAGAAATAATGGGTTTTGCTTCGAATATTATTGTGAAAAACTATCGCGCGCTTAAATGTTTTTGAAACAATATCATGCGATATAACAAAGAGAAAAAAGTTTTTATTTTCGTGATATTGTTAAACGAATTAATTAATTTACTATCTCTCGAAAGGGTAGTAATTTTTAATAAAATTCTGTTAGTTTGATAAAATTTATCGCATTTATTATTATTATAATATCTTACTGTGCATATTACTCATGATATGCTAAATAATTAGTTCGCTAGCTTACTTTTTATAAATTGTTTTTAAAGTTTAAGTACTGTAACATATTTAGTACTTAAATATTGTATAAGCAATATTATACTTATTCAAAGTTCTTCGAAAAATAATATTTTTTCAATTAATTTATTGAAATAAATATTTTTTATATTTTTAAATACCATTGATTAATTAAAATAATATTACTTTGGTAACAGCCATCTTTAATTTGAATTTAAAAAATTATATATAGATTCTATGTATTATTTATACAGATTTTACCAAAATTATAACTTCACATTTTTTATACTATTAAATATAAGTACCTGACTTGGAACTATAAAGCAACTAATTTTATGTATGTTATTATGTAAGTATTTTATAGGATACAATGAAAATACAATTAGCACTCTCAAAAATTTTATTCTAGTTGTGCCTATGGTAAATATTTACTTTTTATTTTAAGCTTATATGTATTTTAAATAAACAAGATAACACTTTCAGGCTAACTCAAATAATATATTATAGTATTTGATTTGGTATGAAAATTTTCATTTATTTATATCAAAATCAATTATCAATGGATAGAATTGCGAATTTTTTAAAAAGTTTCGGGTCTTAAGAAATTATTAGTAGTAGATTATTTCGTTTTTTGACGTATAGAAATTTGATTGGAAAATATTGTTATCCTGATTATATTTTAATGGTTGATAATTTTCTAAATTATGTTACAAAAAGCTGTAGATGTTTTAAACAATTTAAATATAATGATAATAATAAATTAATATGAAAAATTATGAGAAAGGCTGGAGAATTTGGCGCAAAACCGTTAAAGAGTAAGCCACTGTGGTGGCGCGTCGGACGACGCCATAGCAACTGAATTCAGTTTTGTGTAGTATCCGATCGTCATGCTCAGGGGGTCCTTGTCAGCTTCACCTGTCAGTTCCTCCGGAGTGTTTTGGCTAAAATGACCTAAAAGCTCAAAGTACCGTGACTAATAGGTAAAAATCATCTATAATTTTCGAAAAGTAAGTATATGGGATTTCTATTTTTAAAAATAAAAAAAAAAATTATCGTAAAAATAAACATGATATATTTATTTTAATTAAAGTTTTTTTAAGATATATGCTCAAATTAAAGAACTAATTTTATCAATTACAAAAAAAAAAAATGTGAATTTGGATGATTTGTTTTGGAGAAATATCTGTAATTTTGTCGAAATAAAATTTTAAAAGAGTAATGTTAATTAAATAGCTAACTATACTTTTATTTGTAGTTTACTGTAAAATTTGATGTACAACTTTTTTTTTTAAATGAATCATCTTGTCTCAACTTTTATTTAAAAAAAAATCATTAGCAGCATAATATAAAAATTACGTTTCTCTTTTATTAAGTTTGCCATGTGATTAACACTTTTATTAAATATATATTGAATAAAACTGTTTAGATTTGTCCAACAAAAAGAAATGTATAGAATATATGTGTGTGTGTCTTTGTACTTTCAGGATATTAGTCTCAGATCTAAGTATTTATATTCAATTATTATTTCGCTGTATTTTTTTTTAACAAAATTTTTTATTTTAAAATACGTTATGTAAAATCATTCGTTATAATGTTCTTACTACTTATATTATATTGTTTGTGATTTCATTTACTCAATTCGTTAAACATAGAGAGAGATGCCGAGTGCCAATTCTACTCGTTTATAACCCGGAGCTATTGATTCAAACTAACAACAAGAAGTTGTGTTTGAGTGGCCGTTTTAGAATTCGATATCATTTAATTACTTTGTCAAAAACTCAAGTTAATCTTAATAACAATTTGCANTACTCGTTTATAACCCGGAGCTATTGATTCAAACTAACAACAAGAAGTTGTGTTTGAGTGGCCGTTTTAGAATTCGATATCATCACTTCTGTCATGTTCATTTAATTACTTTGTCAAAAACTCAAGTTAATCTTAATAACAATTTGCCTATCTCTAATCAACTATGCCTTACTTGGACATGCCTACTAACTATCTATGCTAGGATTCTAGGTATTACACATTTACACATGCTTAGAAATGTAATCAGAAAAAAATTGTTTTCTTAGTTAGATTTTTATATTACATAAGGTGTTCAGTAAGTAAGAAAACGGGTTTTTTATTGTTCTCATTGTTTATAACAATTGACATGTTTCCTTACTTACTGAACACTCTGTATATAATTTAGTTAATTAATGACTTGAAATAAATCATTTCAAATAAAGTGTTAAATAAATAAACACATCATGGTTAAATTAATACCTTCTCAGATTCGCCTCGAAACTATAATTTGTTAAGACAGCAAATTATATAATTTCCTAAGTCTCGCTTTTTGTTAGTAGATACTTAATCGCAACTCAAAGCTACTTATAATAAGAACTGAGTTCAGATGCTCTAATTACTATTTTATTATACATTTTGTTTGGTTTATAATTTATACACTAAATATCATAAAATATTTAAAATTATCACACGTAAACTAGTTTCCTAAAAATTACAAATATAAAATCAACAAATTATATATTAACTACTGTATAAATAATGTATTTTAATTGTTTCAAAGTATTTAAAACATTTTTTTATATTCTCGTTCAATCTTATGCCATTTTTAAATAGTTGTAAGCATAGTGGAAGGATTGTAATTTTGTTGAGGGGCGGGGGGAGAGAGCTCAATTAATTTTCCCTCATTAAAAAATAATATCTACTTAACAATCAATTCATTTTGATAATTATCTGGGGGGGGCTTAATAGAAACTAGGGGAGCTTGCACTAGCTTCGTTAAACATTTGTAGTTCGACCAAGTTCCCTTAATAAATCGTATCCTTATATTTAAAAACTTATTTGGTATAATTTATCTATAATAATAAGAAAAAATTGTATTTTTCAAAATTCCTGCGGTAAAGTATACCATTTATTATAAAAATATTAACACCAGTACGGGTTGTATCTGCCTACTCTATGTATTAATATTCCAATAGCTCATTAAGTACTTTTCCTCAAATTGTGATAGATCCGACAAATTTTTTTCGAGAAAAAATTATTTTGATAGTATAGTTTTAAGTTAAAGTTTTTTTTATTAGAGTTAAATAGTAAAACATATGTTTTTAACGCAGCCTACAAAAAAATAAAAAAAAAATTACGAAAAGATCAATAGTTATAATAGATGATACTCTGACAATGCGAGGAATAAGTTTTATTTTTTAATATTGAAAAAATCGAGTTTAAGTATATATATATATATAACAAATATACGTTTTTCTTTAACTTGTATAACAAAATGTTATAACAATAAATATTAAATTTATTTTTTGTTTTAACTTGTTGTTAAATACTGTAAAATAGTAATACAGAGACATTCATTGTGCATTTTATTAATCTCATTCCCACTTCAAAACTTCGCTTGAAGTTTACAAAAACTTTTGTCATTAATTGTTTTGTTCTTTGGTTCGATTACGTCATCAGTTTTCTGCGTTGTTTCAATAAGTACTAGCGATAATCAATTAAAATGACTTAAATACTAACATCGATCATAATTAAAACTAATTGGTTTTTAGTAATTTCCATTGAATAAAATATAAAAAAATGTTATTAATGAAGTTAAAAATAGGTATCAATAATACAGAAAAACATTTTTGATACTTAATTTAAAATTAAAAGATTTATGATAAAACTATTAAGATTAAATACGGATTTTTTGTTTATTGTAAAATAATAAATATAAGAACTATTAAATGTTGAAACAGCAGAAAGTTATGTAAAAAATTCACTTCACATAACTAGTTAATATGATTTGTTAAGATTAAAAATAATTTGACTAACATTACCTATTCGATGTGGAAGTAATAGATATAATAAAAACTTTAGTCATTCTACTACACTAAAATAAAAATAAATAAAATAACGGCGAATGTGCCTTTTTTAGTGTGTGTGCTCTATTGTGTAATTTCATCTTTCGTATCATTTTTTTAAATAATTGCTTATTATACGGGTTTGGTTACTTACGATACAGCCACAGGTGCACTTAGTAAAACTGGAGTTCAGCATTTTACTTTTATGTTAAAAGTATGAGTGATTTGATTAAACTTTTTAAAGTAAAATGTCTTATTTTGTTATTATATGTATCCTCTTGTTTGTACAGTCACAGTTATATTAAAAATTGACAACTATTACAATGCGTACATTTATAAGAAATATCGAATGTAATATTTTATGTCATAAATATTTCTTTGTATATCATGTCAACAAATAAGTCAACGAATATTTATACCTAATATAATATTTTTTGTATACTACTCAGAAATTTTATGCTTACAATAATAGAGTTGTAGATTTTTTTTGATCAAAGGACTTTAAAAGCTGTCAGTATGTTTTGCCTAGTATAGAATGAACTTATTTTTAAAATTTAGTGGAAATTCACAATTATATATCAGAGTTCAAAATTAATTATTTATAATTTAAAATAAAATGTCAAGCAAGATACTGAAGAAAATATATAAATATATAACAAAGTGATACTTTTATTAACAGTTAATTAACATGAAAAATTAAAATAATATTGATAATTTTTTGTTTTAGTTTCTTTTAGGTACATGTTTATCTTAATTTATTAATCATTGAGTAATTTTAATGTTCTTTCCTTAATTTTTACAAGGATGTTAACTTTATTTTTCAGGAAGACGACGTACATGATTAATTAACATATTTTTTTTAAATTACCTAATTGAGAAAATGAATGGTCAATAACAATTTTTGGATCAGTATTTCAGAAGTTATTAACAATTCTAAGTAAATACTAAAGATGAGGCGCGGGTGCTGTCATTTTTATCACTAAAATATTAATATCTCCCAAAATATAGACGTAAATATAATTTAATGTCAATAATATTTTTCTTATTTTGATCATTATCTAATAAATAAGCTTTTTAAAATAAAGTTAACACCTTTATAAGATATAAGGGATAAAAATAATATATACATCTTCATTGATAAATTAAGAAGATCATGATTCTAAAAAAAAAGAAATTAAAAATATTATTATGTTTAATTAAGTTGTTTGTGATAATAAAATCACCCTGTATATACATAATAAAAATGAATGAATACTTAAATGTGTATAAGTTGACTCATTAAGGCTAATACATACACTCTCGGAATCTATTGAAAAATCTAATTATCATAAAGAGATCAATTTTTTAGTTTAATAAATTCAATAATGTACGTATTTAAATAATATTTTACATCCGTTTCAGGATAAAATTTTTTAACTTTATGAGATTTTATGCTTTAATATTAATATTATGTTACAAAAAAAAATTATAAATAATTTTATTCTAATAATTTTGTTATCCGATATACCGTTTATATGTAACAGAATGTTAAGGTTAACTGATTTAAGACTAATAACTTATTGTTTATCCACTAATTATTCATCTTACAAAAATCTTATCTTAAATATTTCGATTGAAGTCGCGAATTTTATTAGAAAAGTATACATGTAAGCTATTCTAATCAATGCAAGTTTAATATCGTAAATCTTCGAGGTACCTATTAATTGCGAAGTGTTGAATTTTTATTGGTAACTACCAAATCATGTATCAAACACAAATACTTTTTTTCGATAGCCTATTCATGTTTTATTATTATGAATAATAATAATAATAAAATAATTTTACATTTATAATACTTTATCTATTTCTAAATGTTTCATATTATGTTCAAAGACTAAAATTAATAACCTACGCCACTAGAAGTATATTGAGGGTTTTTTTTCAGTTAAGGTTTTTAGTATGTATTTATTGTTGATAATGGAAACATTGTTATCGAAATACGTAACCGCGAATTTTTTAGTATTTTTTCTTTTTTTTATGAGTTAAATATTTTTAATGCTTTTCAGTTATAAATTAATAGTTTTAATTTAAAATAATATTAGCCACAAGTAATACATTTTTAATGTATAATTATTTAAAAAATTAAAAAGCTATTTTATTATTATATATTACATTTC